CAGGAATGCTGCATGAGCACTATTGTGAAGTGTCAAGGGACAGGAGTTCAGGGGACAGCGGTGGTGTGTGCTTTGCCTATCATTCATGCACCTGACTCTCACCACTCACGTGGCCATTCCATTAAAAACAAATAGCTGCGCTTGATGCAGCTGCAGGAAACATCTTGCTTTTTCACCCATGCAGGCATACAAATGGGCCTCACTTCAGGCTTGGACTGTATGTAGTGATACAAGGAAACAACTGAGAGGGGGAAAGAAAATGGACTTGACAGCTGTCCTGTGAATTTTTTTTCTTTCAAATGATCTCTTCTGAAGCTGTTTTGCAGTTTGGGGCATGGTTCTTGACATGTTTAACACCACTGGTTTCCCTGGAATAACTCACACATTGTGCCAGGATAACAGAATAGAATCAAACTGCTGGAATGAAATTAACAATGGAAATTAATTATTGCTTCAGCTGGAGTAGTCAAAGCACTGATATCTGGCTTAAATTATTGAAACTGAGTTCTCTCAGCCATCAAATTGAGTATGATTACAAGTGCAGTTCCCATGGACTTCACAGGGTCTCTATAACTGAGGGAAGAACCAGGTCCTCAACATGTAAGAAACTTTCAAAAAAATTAATAAAGATCTGTAAAATATAAAAGGAACAAGCTGGCTCCCAGAAAGCACTAGACAAGTACAAAAGATCTATCCACCATTAAGTGATTCAGTGCTTTGCTGCCTTTAGAGACTTCAGATCAATTAACTGTGTCCAGAGAAGCAGCACCTGAATTGCCATATGGGTGTACATGGCAATAAAACTAAGTGGAGTGCCTTTAAAAGAGGTGTGAGCCTTTCAGATGTGTCCCACAGCACCTCATGGACAGAATTAATCAATTATTTCCCAAATTGTAAGTTGCCTATAGCCATTCTCGTAACACATGTCACTGTGATTTAGTTTCTTATGATAAAATGTTTGTAACAATAACTTCTTAAAGGAACACATAGTCAAATATGGCTATGTAACCATAAAGTATACAGTAGGAAGAATAAAGGCCTATCAAATAAATTACACACATTGTCTATGCTTAGGAGTGTTCCGGTGTACTGGTCATAAAGAAACTCAGGAGTTTCTATAATGTTTGTTTATTTAATAAAATGATGTAATCCAGATATACCATCTCTCTCTCCCTCTCTCTCTCCCTCCCTCTTCCCCCACCTTTGCCTTCGCCTTCACCTTCTCTCATGCACTATCACACAACCAAATTCAACTTGCTATGAAATGGTACAACTCTAGTGAAGTCTTTCTTTTTATACCAGGAATGATTTTGGCCCACCATGCCTCCTTCCTCTGCTCCTTTTGTTTTTCCTATTAAGTACATTTCATTAACTCAGGTCATGATATGCATCAGGTAGTTAATAGGGGAGGACCTCTGCTACCACTAGTATCAATCACTGTTGAGCATGCCTCTTGTGAAGTAGCTATTTCCTGATGGCTGGGTCAGTCCAATTGAGCTAAGTATCGGTGTGCTAAAAATGCTGTACCTTCTCTTCAACCAGTGGGTGCTCCCTCAGGATCATTGGTGACTTTGTGGTGCATATACTACAAGCCCCCTGCCATCTCTTACAGAATTAATGGATCCCCATGTTGGAACATTTTGTTAGTACTACTAGTTAAAATAATTAATAAATGCCAGATTACTGTGCTTACATTTACAGACAACTGTCAGCTATAACTTTAAATGAAGTAATTCCCCTCTCACATTAATAAATCCTGCTTAGTAAATGTTTAAAAGACAAAGGTCATCAATCATAGTGCTCATCTCAAAGTAGATGTTGAGGGTTTGAATTTGGATCTGGGTCTGTAATAAAAGTTCAAAGTCTTTACTGAACAGATACTTATTGAAATTGTTCACAGCCCCAAACCACAGCCAAACACTTCCTTTTCTGCCTGTGAATAACAGCATCCAACACTGGAGTATTTTGCCAGGTTTCATATTTCATCACAAAAGTTTTACACAGATCTGTTGATAATAACAAAATGATTTCTGTGTTGAACTGTCTCTTCATCCCAAAAGAATCCGTCTAGGCTGACAGCTAGCACAGACTCCTGTGAATCTTAAGCTATTGACTAGTGATGATGCCTGTTGGCTTTTTTCACCTTAGGAAAGTCCAATGCCAAAGTTGCCCACCCATTATTATCTATCTCTTTAATTTATTCTAAAACCAGTAAAAGTGCAGTATTCTCTGGAAACGGCCCAAAGTACTATGAGCTAGGTTTGCAATGAAGGCTCCACCTGGCCTCCATATGACATAGACATTTTTCAAACACCTTAACCTGCTCATATAGGTTATTGAATTTCCCCTAGCAAAACTTAATTGCCCAAATGGGATTTGTGTGTCCACATTATCCCATCATTTGCATACACAGGGGTCTAGAGCAGAAGAACTGCCCATATAAATTGTCCTTGCACAAAAGAAGATATGATATATTGAAAATTTGGTTTGTAAGCTTAAAACTGTTACTGCAGTGTTAAAAAGTCATAAGTGCTATATTTTTATTAATTAGTTCACGGGGTGCTGAAGAGCATCCATGTCATTTTGGAGCCAAACAAAGCTACTCCTGCAGCGTTTTAAGGAGGTTGCTGTGCAGTGATGAAGTTGGGTTCTGGTTTCTCATATGTAAATGTAATTTATGTAGTAATTGTATCTGTTGTCTGTTGCACTTGGATTCATTATGAAAAGTCTTTCTCCAAGAGCATCCTAGGAAAAGGCTTCAATATGATCTCCATTACTGCTTTCTTTCATTCTAGCACAGCAGAAATACTCTTAAACACAGTCCCTGATTTCCCAGATGAAGACTTCCTTCCAACTAACCATGAAAAATCCCCAATCTTACTACTCTATATAAAGTGCATTTTCACTTGAATCATCTTTAGTGCCCAGGTAAGGAAGCAACAGAACATTGATGAAGGGTGTATTGCATAACCCCATCTACCACATGCAGCCATTTGGTATGCACCAATTTAGAAAGTTCACCAAAACAGCTGTTTTGCACTACCTGCTAAGATGCAGAGCATATCCAGTATAACAAAAGGTGAGGTAAATTATAATGATATTGACTTACAGTAGTTCTCCCTGCACTGATCCCCTGTTCTTTTTTTTCTGTCTTTTTTAGAGTTCCAGAACAGCTCGATCTGAGGAAAACAGAGACATGCTGTGGGATGCCTGGGGTTCATGGAGTGAATGCTCACGCACTTGTGGAGGAGGAGCTTCCTACTCACTCAGACGCTGCCTGAGCAGCAAGTAAGTTGATAAATGCTTGAATCCTCCTCTAGTGGTCCACAGTGTGCCAGCATATATCATGGCAAGAACTGCAATTGGTATGTTGGTCTGTGCTGAAATATCAGCCTCAGATAAGAAAGACAATTTATTATTATTATTTTTTAGGCAACCAGCCAGGAGGCTTGCTACTCCAAAACACCTTTCAAGATGCACTCATAGAGAACACATAGGGCACATCAACACATGCAGGCATGTATGCTTGTAGCAGCTCAAATAGAAGCGGTGCAAATTTGAGCTGGGGCTTTTTGCCTCAGCGCATGTGCCCAGACATGCACTTTGCTGTGGGGCAAACTGTGCCACTTGGGGCAAAATAACCCTGCCTGGATCCTCCCGGATCTGCAGCCAGGGGGAGCTTGAGCCCAGGTGAGCATCTGTGCTGTCCCCAGCAGTACAAAAAGCTGCTCTAGCAAGTAGCTCAGGACTATGGGCAATGTTTTATTGATATATCTACAGTGTTAAAGCAATTTGGAAGCCTACCAGTGTCTCTATCATCATAATAAAATGAATTCTAAATACGTATATGTTTTGCTGCCCCCCACAGGGGCCACAGCTTCCCCACAGAGGCTACAGACCCCCAACAGGGGTTACAGCCCCCCACTAAGGGTTACAGCCAACCAACAGGGGCCACAGCACCCCCACAGGGGTTACAGCACCCCACAGGAGTCAAAAGGCCCCTGCAGGAGCTACAAGCTGCCCCCCCCCACAGGGCCCATGTGCCCCACCCCCGTGCCCCAGATGGCTGCC